TACATCTCAGTGAACTCCAGCATTTCTCACACATCTAGTCTGGTTGCAGAGGGTGGAATGAGAAAGATCTCAATTTTGCTTATTAGAAGAAAGCTCTTCCCTTATCTCTGCACTGAGGCTCTTTGCTGGGAGTGGAGAGCAGTTGCACATCCACAACAAGGTAGGTTGTTGAGAGCTTGTCTCTTGGCACTCTCGCTCACAGGGTCTTGGGAAGCCACGCTCTGAAGCACACAGGCTTCTCTCTGAGTACTACTGCCTTATTTTCATAGAACCAGCTGATTCTGATTCAGCAGTGGTGGCTTCTAGGAACAGAGGGAGTGCCCATCCATCTCTAGACAGGTGCTGAATAGAAAAATGAAAGTAACTGAATAAAAATCCCTGGAAACGGAGATGGTAACAGCAAAAAAAAAAAAAAAAAAAAGGAAAGTAACATTGTTATTCATCAGGTTATTACTTTTGGGAAGGAAACCATGTAACTTAATATTCCTCTGGATCATTCATCTTCATTCTCCTAACTTGATATCAATGGCTGCCAGGTGGTGCCTGTACAGGCTATTCAAATCAGATTATGTTATCATAGTTCTCCAGTCATCGCCAAGAGCAGGATCATGATCATGAGGAGGAAATCTAGTTATTCAGGTACATGTTACCTTATTAAAAGTTTGAGCAAAGTACATTGAGCCATTAATGGGATTAAGGTTTGAGTTGTGTTCTCAGGGTTGTCATGACTATGTGATTTTGGTGCTATGCTGTGGGGCTTAGAGGCCGTAGCTCCACTCTGACCAACTGCAAATAATCCAGACCATTGTCACAGAGGAGTGGACACCAGCATGGACTCTGGCCAAGAGTGTGAAGTTTGTAGAGATTAGATTTATCTAGATACAAATGCCTGAGGCAGACAATGAAGGAGAGGTGTGGAAGGATACCAATGCCTACTCACAGTAAGCAAAGCAGCAATCAGGCAGAACAAGAAGAAATAGCTTTGATAAACCTTCTAGAGTGTCTCTCAACACCTAGTCCCAGCCTTTTGCTCCAGTATTAACAGATGTCCCTCCAGAAATCTGGTCTTTCTTCTTTAGTCCCAGTTGTCACAATAGGGTATGAAGAGTTCCGAAGGGTTTCTTCTCCATCTGACAGAAGTTCACAGATATCCTCCCTCCCATTCTCAGTGAATAGTAATCCACTTAATGATAGGCACTAAAAGGTGCCTTTCAGATACAAACAGTGAAGGACAAAAGCTAAGGCAAGCAGGGGGAGCAGACTGTGACGAACACAGGCTTCCTGAACTGCTTTTACAAACAAAGAAATGTCTTGCTCCAGAGCCAAAAACACTGCATTTTTTAACACCACTACTACCATTTGAATGAAACTCCTGTAGAGGTGAGTTTCTCTGTCTGGAATCTACTCTTATAATTCAGCAACACACTGGCTGTTCCAGGAAATGTTATTAGGGATGAGCCGTGGACAAAACGGTCAGATTCTCCAGAAAATCTTGTCTCAGTGGGACCTGCAGGGTGCAGGTCTCTCAGTGAGTCCTGAGCATGTTTGAAGCCATGTGCATTTTATTTTAAACTTTGCGGTTTAGTTTTTCTGGTTCCACCTTAAAATGGTCACTCTTCACCTTTTAGTCCTGTCACTGGTGCATGGCTTAGCATAGGGGGCATTTCCAGCAACAGGAAAAGCAACATTTCTTCTCCAACTGTTCCTGTGCCTGGAATTTTGGGACCACTTACTAGGTTCCTATTCCTAATCTCCTGACAAGGAGTCAAAAGTACCTTGTCAAAACTGACAAGGGTAGTTGCAGCCCTCTCAGAGAATGGCCAGGGCTGACATGCCTCCACACACTCTTTGCCAGGAGGGTTATGGCACAAGGGTCAGCCCTTTCCTGTCATTACTGCAGTTCTAAACTCATGTGGCCACACCAGCCCAGATGTGTGCCTTCTGGTCATTCCCAGATTTTGATGGTATATACATCACTGAATGGGTAGGAAAAAAGAAGTCTAAACACCTGCCAAAACCCTCACATTTCTGTACATGACTGCTGTCAGTACTTCAGTGTCCCGGCAGAGAACAGAACGCTCTCCTACCCATTCCCTGATTCACAAAATACACAGGACATTTTCTCCTGACCTATCACTCCACAGCAAAAAGAAGTGTGACATACACGCTTTGGCAAGAGACTTCTTCCCTTCTGCATCAGGACCTGAATGAAGTCAAACTCCTAATGTGTGTCTGCAAAGTGCTGCTGGACCAGGGATTAACTCCCGAAGCACAGTTACACATTAAAAACCTTTAGCTGTCATAAAGCCTTTTTCACACACTCCCTCCCTGGATTGTTCTACAAACCTGTCATGTGCTCAGGGATAAATCCCTTGATGCAGAGATTTTACTTTTTTTCTTCTTCCTACTATTATAATATATTTTGTAATTATTTTAGTCATCATTTTTGCTTTGCAAATTCAGATTTTAGATCTTGGTGTGCTGAGAACACCCATGGATTCATGAAATGCAATAATTTCTGTTATGGGATAAATGGGTACAAACATGCAGTGCAGATTTGCCTAGGACAGGATGCCCCTCTCCTGGGGACCCAATGACTCAGACAACAAAAAAAGAGGCAAGGAGCCTCCCCATCCAGGGTCTTGGCATCAGTCCAGGCTCTTCCCATCTTTTCCCAAGGGATTCACACCTCCCAAGAGGTGTGTAGTGGATGGAGCAGAGCAGCAGTGGAGTCCTGTGGAGATCCCCAGTGGGGAAAGCTGGACCCGTTAGGTCTGAAGTGACATGCAGGCTCCTGCTGGCTCTCTGCACAGGGAGCCAGACACAGCTAGCTTCTTTGTGTGAAATCCTGGCCCCACTCACAGACTACCATGTGTCCAAGAAAATCCTCTTTATTCTCATCCTCTGTCTCTCCACAAAGAAATTCTTCCACAGAATTTCTTAGAATCTGAGAATGTTGGCCATTCAGCTGAAGTTTCTGGCCGCAGCACAATTATAATTGGTCTCTCATGGACAGGCTCAGCACGGAGGCCAAAAAACTGCAAGAGTTATTAATGACTGAGTTCCCTTCTACTTCCTAACTGCCAGACAGGCAGGAAAGTTAGAGGGGAACACTTGGGGCTGCGCCACTACTCTCCTCTCATATACGCTGTTCTGGTGCTCCAGCACCTTCTTGCAGACAGGAAGCTGTCCACTGTGCAGACACCAGACAGCACTGAGAGTTGTGGGAAGCAGATCGGGCATCCAGAAGCCCTCCTAGTGCTCAGAGATAATTTTGGGGGCCTTCTCCCCATAGCTGAAGAGTGCATCAGGGTGAAGCTAGCTGCGACCTTTCCAAAGGCACCTGGTTTGCCATAGGCAAGGTTGAAAGGATAAAGAAACACAGCTGGAATGGCAGACTGAGAAACAGAGAGTCATAGATCTTTCCCCCTCCATCCCTCAAATGAAAAGACCATCTCAGGAGAGGTTCAAATCGAACAAGAAACATATTATTATGATTATTACATCCCCATTTGACAACAATCACATGGCACAGTGCCAGCTGGCACCAGGAAGCCTTTGTTGCTTCTCCTTCCTTGCCTGATATGCACCGTGACAAGAATACAGTCCTTGTTAGGTTGAGAACTGAAGAATGGGAGAGGAGAGGCCAAAAACACCTCCTTGAACAATCACTACCAAGTAAACAGAGCTGCACTAGGGAAACACATATTTTAAATACATTTTCCTTGAGGTTTTTGGGGAGGGGAGCTCCATGTATGGGTTGGGAAGGTGGGTGAGTTTGCACTTGGGCATATTTCTGTGGTGTCAAACAGGCTAGTGGCAGCTAAGAGGAGAGTCCGTGGTCCCTTCATTTCACAGGGGAAGATAAAAGTCCATGAATCTGAGAATTTAGGGACCTATGCCAACATAGCAGCTTGGGTAAATTTGGACTGGCACTCCACGCTGGTCACGGCTGTGCTCAGCCTTTGATAAGGAGTTGTCTCACAAAAGCTCCTAGTAGTCTGGTGTCATTCCAGCAAGCCACTCTCTTATCAAAGGTCATGTCAAAAATTTGGAGGGAAGCAGGACTAATAAATGTAGATGTCATAGGACATTGTTTATTCATGCTAATGTTCCTGAAATCATACTTCCCACTGGCAGAACAACTTTATGGAAGCATTGGGAAAAACTGCTGTTCGTTCATCAGCAAAATCATGCATGTCAGCATGCTGCTGTGGTTGAGTAATTTTACACTGAGGTTAGTACAGGGGAGCTAGCACTAGAGGTTTGGAAGAAGTGGATTTCAGAAAGGCTAGTGGCATATCCAGCTCTCTGAACATGAGACACTTGTACCTACAAGACAGTCTAAAGGAACCATCATCACAGCACAGGTATTGGGTTTGTCCAAATGTGCATTCTTTTTCCTGACAATCTGCTAGGCCAAGATGTTCATTTCTAGTAGCTGAAACACTGATTTTACCCAAGTAACATTTGCACCAACCTACCTGAGTGAGGCAGGACAAGATTTGGCCTGCACAGTCACTGCCTGGTTTGATAAATAAGACAACTACTGTGTTCTTGTCCTGTCGTGACTTCCCAGGGCTGGCCAAGAGACTCTGTAAGGGGAGGTCTCACAAGGGATCTTTAGGCATCAATGTTTGGCATCTCCTCCCCAGAAATAATTGCCCAACTATTGTCTCTCTCATGACATGGGTGGACCTGCAGTGAAGGTCCTACATTTGGTCCTTGGTTTCTGTTGCAGTTGTTCTGTGATCTTTGACAAGTCTTTTAGCTCCTGCTACATCTCAGACCAGTTCAGCTTCACTGTCTGAAACAGGCTGGGGCTCAGCTGAAGCTCCATGAGTGTCCTCAGACAAAGTCAACAAGCTGTTGTCTCCTGAGCAGGCTCATCTCCGCAATCCTCCCTGAGATGGCAGCAAACCAAGCAGTGTGCTGAAAGTTCCATGGCCCTTGTGAAACCCATGCAGTCAGAAAGGCAGAGACCAAGAAGGAGTCCATACCTTATTTCTAGTCTGCTTTTTTTCAGTGGGCTGGTACAGGCTCCTCTATAGCTCTGCCTCTCCTCTTGTCCTTTCTTCCACATGCTACCGATACAGGAGAGTAAATAGGTTCTATGAAATAACAATAAGTGGAAGGAAAAAAGACCTCTGATGAATGCCCAAATGGATCTGTCACCAAAACCCTTTCAGTGGTCAGTTCTGCCTCTACCTCCCTTCCAAGGACAAGCATTCTCTTAAAAGAGGCCTGCAGGAGGGCTGTAGATATCAGGCCTAAGATCACAGCTGGGCTGCCTCACAAAGCATGAAAGTGAGAGGAAAAGGGGAGGGAAGGATAACAGCTAATGTTCTTAAACGACTTGTCCTCCCCTGCTTTTTCAAAACTGCCACTGTCATCATGCAAGGCAATAAGGAAGACAGTGTGATCTGGCACCATCCGCCCTGTGCCCTTCCTATATTAAGATTTAGATTGAGCTGTCAGTGACCAGATGCAGCTGGTAAGACAGCTGTAGCTCTCTGCCTGGATCTATTTTGGATTTACTTGCTCCTCCTCTCTTCCCTACTTGCATTTTCCTTATGTAATTTTGAATTATTAAACATGAAATTTCCCTGGAGATGGGTTTGTGTTAATATTGGGATCTGATTGCATCAATGTTGCTCTTAATTTCTTTTTCAGAGAAAAGATGGATTTGCATGCAGGTGGGCAATCATTTTTTCAGGCATGACATCCAACCCAGGTTCAGCTGAACTAAACATTTGATTTTTATCAGGTTGCATGTGATGTGTAGGTCCTGAATAAAGACAGTATGAAATTTGTAGAAGGTTGTCCAAAGCTGGCACATGCTGAAGCCCTATCTCCAAGCAGCATGTTCCAATCAGGTGGATTACACAGGGAAAGAGAGGGGCTGAACAAAGGGTCGGCCTCCAAGCATGCAATGGTGACACTCTCCTTTTGGAGCAGGAATGGCTGGTATGAACAGCTGGTTATTGTAGGCAATGTCCCAGCTTCCCTATCTCCAGTCAAGTGTGCTACGTGCACCAGTGGTTTGGCCTCAGTGACCATGGTAGAGAAGCACGGGCTTTCTGAATGACTAGTGCTTTCTGGGTGCATCAGAGATTTGGACAGTGTGGCTAAATGAAGGTGTAGGACCAGGCTTATTCAGCCACCAGCTTATTACCCACACCAAAGCAGCTCCTTCCTGTTCTACCTATGCCTGTAGCTCTTTTCCTGATACCCCATAAATACTCATCAATAACAGTACTTAGTGCTTTATCACATGTTCTGCCTTCTAACCCCAGACTAGAAAATATTTGACCCTAAGCGATGTTTTCTTCCTCCCCAACCGTACTTTGTAGTATCAGACTTCAATCTATGTCCAACTCAAACTTCAGCTAAAGAATGTGTCGTTGCTAATGTATAACCAGGGAGTGTGAAGCTGCGTGTGAGAACAGCACACACTACCAGTGTGAAAACAAGCTGCAAGTACATAAAGCAGCCTCATTATGCTGCTGCAGAGCATTGTTTGATGTACTTTTTGCAGGACTCTGTTTGGAGACCTCAAGTTAAAGCTAGCTCCAAATGCAGCTGCCTGCTCATTCCAGGGCCAAGCGCATCACAGAGGAACTGAAGACTTTTCCCTTCTAGGTGTTTGGTTTTAATCTGCACTGCTCAAAGATGTCTGAGATCTGATTAATACCAAATCTGTCTCTTACCCCATGCCACACTATATGGAGTCTGTCTGGGAGGATATTTAACAGACAGCTCCCTGTGTCTGTGGACCTTGCATCAGATCTTTCTTCCCCATTGGTGGGCTGAAGCTCGATTTGCTGAGCTTGCTGTTGGTCCCATCCTGCTGCTCTCATATGCAAAACTTCTGCTGTGTGATGAGCTGAGAGACACAGGGGCAAGGGGGAAGCAGCTTCTAGGACGACTGCAATGGTGTGTTATGCACAAAAAAAGCCACTTCCTACATTTAAGGATTGCAAAGGCATACATGTAGTCATCTAGTGAGACGCAGTGAACCCATGTGAACACACTACATTCCCCAGTGCCAGCTAACATCACCAAGGCTTGACAAACTGGCACCCACTTGCAGTGGGCAAAGGTGGTTCAATTAAAATTCCCTTGGATCAGCTATGACACTCCAGTTTGGCAACTGGCTTGGTAGTTGCGAGGCCAGCGTGGGTGAGCGGTACCTGCAAGAGGCACAGAGGATCACTCAGGCAGGAGAGACTGTGGGCCAGGCCAGATCTGTCGCCCACAGCCACAGCAACCACCTCAGATGCACTACGTGCTTCCACCCACCACAGAACATTTCCTAATACCCTCTGACAAACCCAGCACGCCACTGAAGAACAGAGTTTGCCTGCAGCTAGAGTGCCCAAATCCAAAATGCGTGCCACAGCTGGCATGCACAAGGCCAGGCAGAGGCAGGGAGATTTTGCATGGTGTATCTGGAACAACCAGATGGGACAGGTTTCACTCAGGTCAACCAAAGCCTGATGGCAGGTCAAGGTGGCAGATGGGTGAATGGAGCTCTCACACAAGAGAAATGCAGCATGAGGAACCAGCTTGGGGCACCAAACAAGGTTCTCAGAGGAAATGAGAATTAATTTGTGGCTCAAGTGATCCTAGGAGGCATCTCAGGAAGGACTCAGACAGGGAGAACTCTCTGTGTCCCATCTGCTATTAGTAAAGAGACATCTTGCTGTATACACATGGCCATGGTATGCTGGTGTAGTCCTGCTGCCTCTGCCAGATTTGCTCTGGTTACATACTGTCCAGGTCTGCAGACAGTGGGGCTGTGATGTGACCCAAACTTTGACAATCTACCTAGGACAGAAGGAGGTCAACCAGCCTCTCACCTCCCCATACTGCAGACTGTGGAGCTCTACTGCAGGTCAAGCCAAGGAAGGATGTACCCTGAGGTGCACGAGGGCTCAGGCAGCAGCCCTGCTGATGACTATGGTGTCTGCACAGGAGACAGGATTTCTTGGAAGAATACTTTTATGTATTATGAAACCAGCCATGGCACAGCAGAACAGTAACACTGGGACTCTCAGGGCCTGGCTTCCATCCCCAGCTTTGCCATGACCTTCACAGGGTCATGCTGGGCAAGTCAAATCCCTTATCTGTGGCTCCACCTGAGGAAATGTTGCTGCCTTGAGTTAGAAGGAGGATAATGAGGACAAATCTTTGGGCTCCAGTGTTGGAGGGTCCCTCCCTGCAGGTTCAGTCTAAGAGTGGATAAGAACACCACTTTGCTTGACACAACACTAGTGCGCGGTGTCAAAGATGACATCATGGCATGTGAACAAGCATTTACCCTCTGAAAGAGAAAATAGCAGAAGCATGTGTAATCATTTGCTTTTCATGCCAACATATTTTCCTTATGTAAAGAGAGGCTCTGGCGGCCCTAAGGATGCTGAGAGATGCCTGTGCTCCCCTGTGAAGGTGGAACTATCAGGCAAGGCTGCCAGCATACCTGCCTGGGTAAATTTGTGCATGCACTTCATGTTATAATAGGCTTTAGTATCTGATAACAGAGACCTGCTGGAGTCTGGCATGAGGATAGAAGGAATCAAAGGTCATGTCATGAATTCCAGTTATGCTGATAGACACCTACAGCCAGAGGAAGGAGCTCAAGAACAGGAACTGTAAACTGGTTGGGAGGGCTTGAAAACAGAAACTGGTTCAGGGATGACAGGTATGGGTCATTTTGGACACCAGATGGACAATTGCACGTGCATGTTTGTCATAGGACATAGGAAGGTGTTTTCCTGATGGAGTTACCCATGAACTCTGCCATTACTAGTTTAACAAACAGACTAAGCACACTGCACTAAATGTTTTAAATAGCTAGCACATGTCTCTCCAGAGGCCTCTTCCCGATGGAGAAGCTGATTCATGACATGGATGGGCAGATCAGTAGAAAGGTAGGAGATGCAAATATGCAGTGTGTACCTTGCACCAGGGAAACCGTCTGCCCACGGAAACAGCTGAGAATGTATGTGATAGCACAAAGTTGCTCTGCTCGCTGCCTGCTTCTGCCTTATTAGTCTGATGCTACCACTTGCCTTGTGCCTTATGCCTAGCAGGTGCCTGGGAGGCACAGTTCTCCTGTGGTGCACACTGGGGTCTGAGCAAGTTCATATCAGGAGTGAGACTCGGCAGCTGTGCACGGCGATGGCTCGGCAACTCCTGCACAGCATAGCTCTGTGATGGGTTCTGGAGGCAGGAAGAGGAGCTTTAAGGTTCTACAATACCCAGAAGAAAAGAATGGGATGAGATGGGATGGGATAGAACAGGAAAAAAAAAAAGGACGGGGAAGCGGAAGACAAACTCCTTGCAAGTGATTGACACTTCTAGTTGTATAACAATAAATTATCCCATTTCTTTCTTATTATTTCATTTTTCTTATTCTTCAGTTAAATGATTCCACTGTTTTCACAACATTCTCCTCCAGCCTCAGACTAGATGCGCTCACTCTCCCTTTACTTTTCAAATCAGGAGTTCTATTTGGGTTCACCTGCTTCATGGCTGTTGCTTTTTGCCTCTTCACAGGTGCTGACAAAGGCTTTGCTGGCATTGTTTAAAGTAACTTTTGAGCCAGGAAAGATCTAGTATACAGGCAGGAGGTTGAAAGACAGACACAGCATAGGGACACAACAAACTGCTAGCATGTGTTGTTATCAGAACATCTTTTTTCTTCACTCCTCTGCTGTTAGTTGCACGTCAGGCAGCAACAGAACCTACCTGTGAGGAACTGCACTAGGTGTTGGTTTTTAGCAGCTGATTAGTCACAAATCTGGGCCACTGAAAGCTGGCTCCAAACTCCTGGCAAACAAATTGGGAAAATCTCATTGAGTTCAGGGAGGTTTGGCTTCAACTTCACAGAGAACAGCCTGAAACTGAAACATCAGATGCATAAAACCCCACCCATGCAGTAACTACCAGGAAAAGGGACCAAAACTGATAGATTTGAGCCTCAGTGAACAGATTAAATCACCCATCTGAATTAGCAATTTAAATAAGCAGGAGACCTTATTTTTAAATATTAAATAAAAACTTCTTTTCATTTATCCTTTTTAATTATTTTTCACAAAGAAAGGTTGATAGTCATCAGGCTGTAACCAAAAAGACCCTGTTGACCTAAAACCACATACAGTCCACGCACAAACTTACTGTTACCAGCAGACAGTTTTATCTACACATATTTACTTACCACTTTACATGTTTTTATTAGGTCTTGATTGTTACATTTTCCTATGCTGGGAAATGGTGAATTATGTATTTTTAATTTGTTATAGAATGACTGTTTATCTTTAGAATTGATTCATATCAGACTGCATACAGAATGAAGTTTGAATCCATTAAAAAATCTCTAAAAACAATTTTAATAAACACTTAGTTTATTATTTATAAAACCACTTTTGTTGCAAAACAGAAAAGAAAAAGTAATATTAAACAAAAGAAGTTTTATCAGTGACTAGTGGGTTAAACAGGTTGTTCCAGGACACCATATACTCCCACAATGTAGATCTGCTATATCTTGTCCTCTCATCCTCATTTTTCTCATAGATCAGAGGAGAAAAACAAGCTTGCCCTCTTTTTCCAAACCTCATCCAGTTTCTCAAGTTTGAATGAGCAAGTCACTAAATTTAAGTTGTTGAATAGACTGAAATGGAATAAATAGTCATCTACTACTCATGGAAGAGCAATAGCTTTCAGAAGTGGATTTATCACTTACCAAGCTTTGGTTCCAGGTGCTTAGGTAGTGGTTTGGTTCAACTTTCTGAAATGTTTTGGCAGGAAGCATGTGTACCTTGATATTTTAAAAAAGAATCAAGACAAAGAGAAGCTTTTTATCAAATATACTAAGCTTCCTAATACAGATGGCCATTGTTCCACATTTAAATAGCTCTATTTCAATAGAGAGAAAATGTACTGAATTTATAATTTTCTTAAAATTTTCTGCCATTGTTATTGCCAGTTGTCTGTGATGGATGTTAAGAATAGGATGGACCTTAGTTCCCTGCCCAGTGACCAGACTACTCTAAGCTGCCACTAAGAGCCTGTGAGTGGCTTTAGCACCACAAATCATTGCCCCAGAGACAAAGTTTCCAGCTGGGAATTACAAGTACCCCCCAGGGTGAACAGAGATGTCAGAGCACTCATGTCCACCCGTTTCTTTAATCTTCTTCCACCCACCCTGTTTTTCCTGTCACCAAGGAAGTCTTTCCATACTGTTTGCGTGACTGGAGAAAGACCCTGGAAAACATGAACAGAGCATAAACCAATGCTGAGATGCCTGCTTGGATTGGAAAGGCATCTGAAACAATATCTTGAAGATCCTGTGCCCCTGGCCTCTCTGCCTACCCCTACGAAGGAGGCCTAATCATGTGGAAAAGGGGCAGCCTCTCCCTGCGGGACACTAGGACACTGTGGAAGAGGCCAACATGCTATTTTAAAAGGTTATAATGCCATTCTGTTTTATTGCCAGTTGGCATTAATTAGCTCACTACTGTCCTCTTTCTGAATTGTCTCAACCAAGGAGTATCTGTTAGTGATTTATACTTGGCACTTCCCTGGTAAAAGTTTTTCCATTCTAAATCATCTTGAGCAAGACTTCTCTCCATGACAACTTCACTGAAGTGTCTCACCTTCCTACTTTTGCCTCTTTTTAAAGTAAATACCATGGGAGAGGCAAATCGAGGATTTTTGTGACAGTAGCCTGTCTGATACTCTTCCATCACCAGTGCTTAGTCCGTCATCTTGCCTGGTGGCAACAAACATGTCACCATTAAGAGGAATTGTTTTGGGGTCAGATGCTCCTAACCTCCAGCTTCACTGGCTGAGATGAATCTATGTTATGCCAGCTGAGGATCTGTTCCTTCAGGAAAACAAGGCCTATTGGAAAGACTGCACAGGGAGGAAAACCAGGGTTTTCTTAAAAGGTTAGCTAACACTGCTTTAGCTAAAGCCCACCACAGCCCAATTTCTGGAGGCTTATGGAACGTAAATCTTGGATTAACTCGATATTCAGTAGAGCTTTGCAATCCACTTGTAACACCTTCCAGTTCAGTGTGAAGAATTGGGCCTCTTATGAGCCTCTTTTCAGCATTTCTCCAAAGCTGTGGATATCCTTCTCCAGGGAGGGATTTGGAGGGGATACATTATGAGCAGGACACTAATCTGCTCCTCTACTGCAGCATGTTGGGAAGGGAATCTCAGATGGTATCATGCAGCATTTGATCCCTATTTCCTTTCTAGGCCAACCTGATGGAGACACCACTGCGCAGCCCTTTCAGCCCAGACTCCAGTATTTAACCACTAGAAACATTCTGGTGCCAAGTTTTCACAGATGTTTTTAGGGGGAAGAATATATCCTAGCTCCTAAATCAACTTGAGTAGACAAGGCAGTATGCGGTCACTACTGTGACACTGCTGTCAGTCATTGCTGTTCAGAAGTTTGTGTATGTCTCAGGAACCATGACAGAGTGAAAACCAGAAGCTCAGTCTGTTAAGTACCATTATATACCCTTGGTGCTCACATTTTTACTTTCCATATTCACTCTCTTTTTTTTTAATGCCTGAGAGGTCTTCTGTTTGCAATTCGGTGTAGGCTTCTGGCTAGAAGAAACAATTAACCATGCCTCCAATCAGGACGGAAGCAGAAAGGTATGGAGAGAAGATTAAAATCAAATCCCCAAACATAAAAGGAAATTTGAAGTAAAAAAATTGAAAAGTGGAACGGCATGCTTCATCTCTATCATTGATAAAATATTTTGCAATCCTGGAAAACTTAATAGCTTCTTTGGCATAATCTTTATGACCTTAAAGGGGTGATAAGGAAAGTAATAAAAAACTGTTTCTGAAAGGGTATGCGTTTTCCTAGTCAACTCAGTTTTTCCGTCTCACCTCCAAGGCTAACATTCAAAAGGAAGTTTGACACATACGGGTTTTGTCGGAACTTGGAAGCTGTTTATTTAGCTTCTCTCAAGATACTACCTATGGAACCTTGCAGAGCAGGGCAAGAAAGGGAGCCCTGTGAAGTGGCAATGGCGTCGGAAAAGTGAAGGGTGCATAGCTCAAACTGCTCAAGTTTATTAAAACAAAATAGGTCAGCAGAGTTGCCCAGAGGGTTACATAAGGCAGAAAGTAGCACTCCACAGGAGAGGAGAAGGGAGCCTGTTAAAAGGCAAAGCCACTCCAGTTTGTTTATGGCCAGAGATAACTGCCTTGTGGTGTGTCTGTTCTCCATAGCTGACAGAGTAAATCACACTCTTTATCTCCACAGCAGATGAGAATTTGGACTGGGCTGTTGTTTTGTGAGCTGTGGATTAAAGCAAATGGGGCTGTTATTTATTATTATGGCTAGCATTATTATTTTGTTCCTGCGATCTCTGCATTTCAGTCTCTATGTAAGGAATTTCACCACAATGATTTGCTTGAAGGGAATGTTAGGGATCATAATAGCAGTAAGGATAAAACCTTGAAACACCTGAAAAGGGTATATAAGAAAGGTGGGTTGGCAGTTGTGTACAGGCAAGGGAAATGATCAAATGCGCTTTGGGATACTGCAGAGCAAGGCTGGGAGCTGACACTCTCATCCTGGCCCAGAGGTCAGCCCAAAGGCCAATATGACATCTGGGGATGTAGAAGTACCTGTGGCCTGCCGATGCATCTGTCTCAGTACCAGTCTCCCCCAGTTCTGCCTCTTCCTCTTGTGCCAGAAATCCAGCTTCATATCTTAAACGCTGCCAGCTCTGTCACAGTTCCCCACCCCTTGGCATAGACAGGGGAGAGAAGACCCTCTTGCAGAGAGGTCAGGCACCCTGCACGTCTCACATCTCAGTAAGTGTATTCTCACTTTCAGGTACTCAAATCTCAAACCACTGGTAGTATTTATCCTTCAGAAGTGGTAGCCTGTTGCCCCTGTTCATGCCTCCTCCTTAGCTCCTGTGACACATTACTCCTTCCTTTCTGCAACCTCGGCTCAGTGACAGAGCAGAGCCGTTTGCATGGAGAGCTCTTCCCAAAATTAAGCAGAACCCAGGTTGCACTAAAGATCATACAATCAGAGAACATCTGATATCACAGAAAACACCAGTACTATTTTTCATGGTTTTGGTCTGTAAGAGCAAATGGGAGCTCTTTGCTTGTTTTCAGACTGACTGATCCAATGACACCTACTGAGTGGGCCATGACCCAGGAAGCTTCTCAGTAGCTCCAGGAACAGGTCCCTGGGAGGAAACATCCCTTTGAGCCATTTACTGAGAGCTGGTTAGAGAAACAAAGGAGCTTTATCTTTCATGGGAAAATGCTGAATCATCAAAATCCACACTTCTCATAGGGGCACGTCGGTTTTCATGACATTCTCAGGAAGAAGTTTCTCTAATCCAGGATAGAAAGCAGAAGGTTAATTTTATTTTGGTGAGGGATAAAGAATTGAAGGAGACAGACAGGGATAAGAGGCTATAACATATTCAGTCCACTGTACAAGCAGTGTGAGAGACAGTTCAAATATTACTCTGCCTGGTCCAGAACCACGGCTGGATCTGCTCAGCTGTGTGCTCTGAGCAAACACCTGCATGTTGGAGAATAGCTGGAGGGGACAGAAGTGAAGGTGCCTCTCCCTGTATAATTTTTGCAAGACATGTTTGAAAAGGCCTGGGTCTGTCCCATGTCAGAATAGCAGTTCTGACACCCTGCAGATGTCTGTACATGAGGACTCAGCTCTCCTAGCCAGATGGATGGTTTCCATTATTCTACACCTGATCTGCATCCTTCCAACTCACCAACCTGCAGCAGCGTCTGTGCCATACATAGGGTCACAT